TTGCCGCCTGAATGTATTTTGTCATCTGCTAAATCCATTATACCATGTTTAAAATTATTGTTTATTACGATTCTTATAAGGACACATTTTATGGATGAACAACTTCTTTATTCGAGTGATAGGACGTTTCGATGCAGATTCTTGTAACGTTGGCAAGCAAGTATGGGTCAGGAAATAACAGTAAATAATTAACAAGAAGGAGAAGAAGTATGCCATTTAATATGCCAATCTTAGAAGTTATTACGTTTCTTGTGTGTTTTGGAGGTTCATTCAATATACAAATACAATCAATTAAGTTGTTGGTTAGCTTCAAATAAGGATACACTGGATGAATCTTTCTTTGTGCGGACTTCATATTTTTAATAAAATACAGGTTAACATATATTGGTTGAAATCATTAAGGCTGTAAGCACGTAGATTCACTGGTATAACACGTCCAAGCACCCTAATGTCTGCTGTAAGAAGTTTACTGCATGTCAATATTATTTGTGGTGTGCATATCACAAGAGATTTGTCAGAAATGGGGTTATTCGGTATTCCATTAATTAAAACATTTCATTATATGTATCGCCAAAATTGGCACCACCACGTTTACACTTAATGTCTAATTATGTTTGTATCAAGTCTCAGCTACAAGCTGAAACGTAAACAGCAGGGCAAATAACAGCATACACCTATGTAGCTTAAAATGAAAAAGTGACTGTTGAGTGTACCGTCTTTAATACGTCTTTAATAATGTTATAGCTTTGTTTTGAACATTCACTTTGGCGTTTTCGTCAGGCTAAAAATGGTTTGATAACGTTTTTTTGACGCGTCAGATCCAATCTTGAAATACTTAACATCGAAATGACCCATATAATCAACATGATGAGAAAGATTAAAGGTTCTCAATGAACATGAGGCGATAAGTTGTCACTTATAATGATATTATGGACTCTCATATATAAGTGATTGCTATAAAGATGTGTTCAATCCAGTAAGACTATAAATCATTTTTAAATGCTTGTTTCAGTCAAGACGCGATAGTGACATTTTCCTCGTCTTGCTCACTAGGATAGGTTGAAGCACGGATATTCCATCACTGGCATGCATTCAAACACTGAGATCTGTCATTGTACCTAAACACAGAATATAAGATACTAAATGATAAAAAAAAACGTGTCTGTATTTATACATGCTCCTGAAAATGTATTATCTTATTCAATGAAACGCTAAGTACATTTAGTTTCGCGGACATTTTGTCCAATGGAAAAGCGTGTAAACATAAACATTTTGATACCTCTCAAAGAAATATGACATTGAATTCAAGTCGCTGGTCAGTTGAAAGGTTATAACGAGTGACTGGTGTTGGTGAAGTCACGTTATCATCATCAACTTAGTAATGTTTCAGTACCACCAGTTGAAATGTTTTCACTTGTCTGTTTTGATAATTGATTTTTTTATGTAACTGTAATGTCATCCTCATCAAATGTATCACACAAACAGCAGCTTCTCTTCTGACAATGTCAATGACAGTGTGTGTTATTTGTTTCACTCATCAAATGTACCACACAAGCAGCAGCTTCTCTTCTGACAATGTCAATGACAGTGTGTGTTATCTGTTTCACTCATCAAATGTACCACACAAGCAGCAGCTTCTCTTCTGACAATGTCAGTGACAGTGTGTGTTATTTGTTCCACTCATCAAATGTATCACACAAGCAGCAGCTTCTCTTCTGACAATGTCAGTGACAGTGTGTGTTATGTGTTTCACTCATCAAATGTATCACACAAGCAGCAGCTTCTCTTCTGACAATGTCAGTGACAGTGTGTGTTATTTGTTCCACTCATCAAATGTATCACACAAGCAGCAGCTTCTCTTCTGACAATGTCAATGACAGTGTGTGTTATTTGTTTCACTCATCAAATGTATCACACAAGCAGCAGCTTCTCTTCTGACAATGTCAATGACAGTGTGTGTTATATGTTTCACTCATCAAATGTACCACACAAGCAGCAGCTTCTCTTCTGACAATGTCAGTGACAGTGTGTGTTATTTGTTTCACTCATCAAATGTATCACACAAGCAGCAGCTTCTCTTCTGACAATGTCAATGACAGTGTGTGTTATTTGTTTCACTCATCAAATGTATCACACAAGCAGCAGCTTCTCTTCTGACAATGTCAATGACAGTGTGTGTTATCTGTTTCACTCATCAAATGTATCACACAAGCAGCAGCTTCTCTTCTGACAATGTCAATGACAGTGTGTGTTATGTGTTTCACTCATCAAATGTATCACACAGGCAGCAGCTTCTCTTCTGACAATGTCAGTGACAGTGTGTGCTACAACCTGTTCAGTGGACTCGAAATTTTCACATCGCACGAATACATATCTCTTTTTGTCAATTCCCAATCTATTTACAGACCTCCGCCATATAGCTGGAATATTGCTAAGTGCGGCGTGAAACTAAATTCACTCACTCACTCACTCCATTCCCAATCTCAGAACAGTGAGAGACTTGCTGATGAAAATTTCTGATAATGTTTGTTTATATAATGTCGATAAACACTATGTGTTTTCAGATCTATACTTGACCACACGAACTGTTTAACTGTCTTCTAATTATACACTCGTTATGAAGACTTATCTACTCCTCGTATCTCTGAAATAACTAACATCCACTATGTCGTCTAATTTCAAGGATGTAGGCACTTGACCTGTGCACATTCATACAAGCATGTCAATCAAAGTCTAATATTTAAAACAAACTTAATAGAGTAGACGTATGTTAAATTAGCTATATGTATACATGTGAGTTTCGTAGCTTGTGTATCTGGCGGTTTGGTAAAATATTACTTCTAGGAAACATACATCTCAAAGTCGTAAAAGAACACCCGAATCTTTCATAATGCTACAGTTAATAAGTCGTACCATGGCATAATATCTACAGTAATAATATACGATTCTAGTTTTCTTTTTTATTATTATTACCTGGTGTCATCAATGATATACAGTGATACATTCCAATCGTCATCACAGCTATTTGTCTCTACACCAAACAGATTTTGTGAAGATGGTTCCGACTTGGTATTCTGGTATTCGTTGGCACTGACTATTTATATTTAACTTTTTTGAAAACTACACATCTAACGGTGTGTTTCATATCGTGCTCGCTGGTGTTTATCACTGGATGGTTTAGTCCTGACTCGAATATCTACAGACCGCCATATAGCTGGAATATTGCTGAGTGCGGCAAAACAAACCATATCGTGCCAAAACGGTCTAAAAACGGCATTTGTCTTTGCTATACTCTTTATTGAAAACATGATGATATAAACTGAGACGGCACGTGTCCCTGTGGCGAGGAGAAGGTCTATCAATAAGTGATAACACTCCACATACCTTCGATGTAAGTGAGCAAAAATATAAATGTCAGTTTTCTCTTGGCGTTCAGATGCCAAATACTGACCGTTTGTGAAGTTGATAATTGCTCTGTAATATTACCGTTTTATCACATAAAAACCTCAGTAGCCTAATATCATATGACAAGTCATGCTTACGGCGATGGAAAGACAGCAACGAAATCACCACCGTTGACTCCGGGCAACAGCTTCCACTCTGAACATCCAGAACCATCAGACCTAATATGGAGTCAGCATCGTTTTCTTATAACCATTTCTAAATCAATATGACACGAGTAATATTTGAATGATATTATAAAAATGCCTGCTGCCCACTCGATCAAACGCTCGGTTGATGATTCGTTATATGATCGTAGACGCTAAACAACTAATTTCCTTATTTCATGTTAAGGATGCTGCGTTAAGAAGACAGACGTGTGTTGAACATCTAATCCTGGGCTTCCAGATGCATCAGTTGTCAAAGGACGAGGGGTGATGTTGCATGTTGCATAACCTCTCAGTCTGCAATATTCTAGTGACTTGGCAGGGTACGATGACATGCTGCTCACAGAGCCTGAACTCTGGACCAGACTATTGGCTCGAGGTGGTGTTAAATGACAGAGGTTGTGGCTTATCAAGTTATTGCACTTATATAGTGACGTGCTCGTATATGTGAGAGGCTGGTGTACTAGTCTGGACTGAAGCCGGGTTTATAGCGCCAGCTCACTGAGGTACCATAAGTGCCTGAATTGGGTTTAACTCCGCTTTGAACAGAATTCCAGTTTACTGCTGGCGGAAAGCTTTAAGTGATGCAGCCCTTTGGTGTTATCCTATTTAAGGCACCCACGACCGCGGTTATGATGCTGAAAAGCCTTGAAACATGATCGGGTCGCACTTGAATTTGCATCCACAGTTATATGTTTCTTATGTACCCAAGGGACGTAACTTTGCTGGAAGAGTGAGTTTAGTTTTACGCCGCACTCGGCAATATAACAGCTATATGGCGGAGGTCTGTAAATAATCGAGTCTGTATCAGAAAATCCAGTGTTCAACAACATGAGCATCGATCTACGCAATTGGGACACGATGACACGTGTGGACCATGTCCGCGAGCCTGGTCACCCGATCCCGTTAGTTTGGTGTAAGAATTACGGTGTCGTGGACGAAGGTCCCCGCGGACATATCATGCCTGATTTGAACATAAATACCACGTTCAGACAAGATATACTGATTCCGAGCCAGCCAGTCCTTGTTTTACCTCCCTCAGCGACAGGCAGGGTAATACCACCTCCTAATGTCAGCATGGGATCGAAACACAGACCCGCCGATCTTCGAGCACTCACTCCATCTACTACACCAGAGAATCAGTTCGACGGACAAGATGAAGGGGCAAGCATATACTCCGCATCTACTACACCAGAGAATCAGTTCGATGGACATGATGAAGGAGCAAGCATATATTCCGAAACGTCGTGTTATTCACAATAAACAAGTTGACATCCATAAATCTTGCTTTTCTTAGGTTAGGGGTAATGAGGAGATATTCTTCAAGGAATCCAGACGAGACTTTTACTGAGAGTTAGGTGTCTTAAGCATTGAACGAATAACGGGTAGGTATAAAATGTCAATTTTATTGAGCAAGTAGAAAACAATAAATCAAATATCATTGAATGTTTGAATCACTTCATCAAAGTCATCATACAAATGCACTGTCTATATGCATGCGATTATAAACAGTATAATATGTACATGGTTAACTTACTGCAAGGGAAAATTGTACAGGTTTTTTACACGTGTTATATTACAGTATAGTGTAACGCAGAAGGTGTAAGAATCGTCATTTCATTTCAGTGCTTTTCGTTTTCGTAAACGAAAGAAATAGTGCTGAAACATGTACATGTTTTAATTTGATCTAATTTGATGATTTCTTTAAGAACACAAAGTCCTGTACTTTCTGACATGTCATATTTCATAGCTCAGAAATCAATTCATGAGACAAATATGAAGACAGACTGGTTATTAATTGAATTATTTTCAACGGAAATTGTCTATCGAATAAATACAAAATATGAATCAATTTTAAATAATTTGATACTAAGACAAGAAACAAAGTATGGCGTGTGTCTCAGTAAAGCAATTTTAAAAAGTGTAAAAGTGGCCGTAACGTTGCACAAAGATTCTAGTTCTACACAGGAACAAGCAGCTCCGCAGTACACGTTCTAGCACTGGATATCAGAATATTGCTGGAATCCCTAATGTGTGTATTATCATGCATCTATTACACCGGATAATTTCTTTCTGAAAGGCACGGGTGTTACATATTTCTACCACTGACCTTGTACTGATGGATATAATAGGTCACGTTCATTTACGCCTAAGTTCGCTCAGGAACGAGCTAACCTGGCCCACTTAAGCAGGTTAATTGAATTCAAGCTACATCTTTCAAATAAAGGGTCAGGTATTGTTATTTTGTTATTATGCGCGATCACATGGGATTTATTGACTACAGGTTATGGGTTGATACGTCAGGGAACAAGATGGATTGTTACTGGAAACACAAGCAGTCATTTCCCGAGTCGAATGTCGTGATTCAGTGTGTAATGAGTTGATAACTTAACATGGCGCCCAACAGCCACAGGGCTTGAAGACTGGGTTAAACCCCTAAGCTGAAGCGAACATGGTCTCAATACACTATCCACAACCAAGTCGTGAGTAATCAATAAGGTTTAATATGAGTAATCAACGTGGTTTAATACAGTCTTTGGCATAATGTGTTTGAATGACTATGTCTGCAAAAACGTCTTCAATCATAACAGTTGGTGCATGAATTATTGTACCTCAAAACTGCACGTGAAAAACCGACTTGGCTGTGCAAAGTCACAGAGGCATAAACACAGAAAACGATGCAATTACTTTGAGTAATGAAACAAAATCGTGACAATTACAGAAAGAATCAATCGCGCCAGCTTGGCGGGAGAAGAGAGTTAATATCACAAAAGCATGTACCATGTATTCCGGTATTATCGAAATAACCATGGAAACGGATTCAATAAAATAAACTCAATAAAAATCCAAGGGTGATTTCAGCTCTGTGACGGCATTACATAACTAATTGTAGGTCTCGCACATCAATCATGCATTATGACGTGAATGTGACGTAACCATGGTAACAGTGGGGGAAAACGCCAATACAGATTCGGGACTGACATCCATCTTATATATGACAAAACAGTCAAAGGTTTTAGTGTAAGCAATACCCATAATTACATACACTTCATAGCTAATGATGAAAGCTGGTTTAGCATAGTGAAATAGGAGCGTGTTATGTTTTGCTTCTAATATATATGATATTATATTACCACTGATAATGCAGGTTGGTAATGAAAGCGGCTGCCAATGATAATCAGAAATAATTAAACAAGCTCACGCTACATGGTCCAGTCATCGGTGGGAACAAATGAGGGTCAGGACAAAGCAGTGAGACGTGGGAAGCTCAAGGCGGGACAACCAAGTAACATCAGCACCAATTTCAAATGTGTAACAATAACAAGCAACCAATCACAAACATACACGTGTCTCGCGGTGGTAGGCTCAAGTAACAATAACAACTTTTATTAGAGGAACATCAGTATGTAACGGATCAAGTAAGGAAATGAAATAATAAATGTCTGCATGTATTTTTCCCGTTCCCGTAAATTCCTCCACTGTGCGGTCATTCGAGTCCACTCGGCTGATTCCGTTACATACACCAAACCTCGGGTCGCACTGGAGAAGGGAGATTGTATGCTTTAGGGGTAAGCCGAATACCGACCGAAACATCGACATTCAAGTCTCTGAATGGCATTTAGAAGTGATACACATGAGGAAGAGAGTTTTTATGTTCCTCATAATGAAGAAGTTGACATCCATAAAAATCCTCTTCCTCAACATTCAGCTCAACGACAACCTTAGACAATGATTACTAGAATCAAGTGCACAGTTTCAAATGCAACTTGCAGCAGCATTTATCCGAGGAGCACGACCGTAGTGTAACGTGATAGTCACAGGAACGAGTGAAACTAATAAATCCACTTGCAATATGGATGCTTCCTAATGCTGACCGAGATAATCTGTGAAACAGGCGAGCCGAATGAAGAAGGGATAAGTATCAAGTGACATATCGATATCAACAACATACCCTCAACATACAGAGCAGCTCTACTGTTGTTCCAACCAAAACCAGAAATACATGAGATTTATGCCTTTGGCTTTAATACGAACCGAATAAAAATGACCCCTTCGGTGTATTGCGCTGAAAGAACGTATGCCATAAAGAGATTTGTAATTTATAAATTACTCACAAAGAAATTTATGTTTTATTTCTGTTTGTAATTTTGATATTATATCGTCTTGACGGCAAAGAAAAGGTATTTAATCAGTGTTGTAATAGCGTGTGAGGAAAGTAAACACGTAACAGCTAAAACCGAGGTCTTCCTAACAATCTGCTTTGAGCAAAGTTTTTGGCAGAAGGGAATAATTTCCTTTAAAATATCATTATCAATATTTTTAAAACTCAACCAATATATTAATAACGCATCACATGTACACAAAACACACAAGCCTTCAAGCATGCAAGCACAACGAAATATTAAAGCATCATTTCAAATCTACAAATCACCCATGAAAATGTTTCCAAAGAAATGAAAACATGAATATTGCAATTACGATGTCCATGATCAAACCAGACAGGACTTGTCTGGGAAAAAACATTTGAAACATACAATGTGCAGCTGTATAACGTCCATGTCATATTTACCAAAAAATACACATTTTCAAATGCATATTTGTAAAAATTTACGGCGAGGCAAAAGCTATCGATTCAGCTTCATCTACCATATCATAATATTTTAAAATCATTGGCTTAATAGTAACAATGCATATGTCCCTTTGCAGTGAGTTTCGAACGATCAAAGCACCATTCGCGTCATTAACGGGAACAGTGATTAAAGCGTCCGTAAAATACGACCAAAGAAATCTCACCTATCGATCATGTCCAACATAACTACTTCCAAAAAGCATATTGGTTCCTCTTACACAAAGAAATGGGTGAGTGAGTATGGTTTTACGCCGCTTTTAGCAATATTCCATCAATATCACGGCGGGGGACACCAGACATGTGGGGAATCGAACTCGGGTCGCGTGACGGACGAACGCTTTCCCTACTAGGCTACCACACAGCCCCAACACAATGAAAAGAACAAAGTCTGATTAATGTTAATATAAAAATCTACAAGCCTGTGACAGGGTGTGTATTTCAGAAACAGCGTTGTTTTGTAAGTAAGTAGATGGTCATTGTCGTGAGTGTAGTTTCATGTACACATACTTCTCGCTGATTGTTTTATACATTCAATATACTTAAGGCATTTGAACCAGCATGCATATCATCATAAAACGTTACATTTATACATTTAAACCTATCATTCTACACAGACGGTCGTATTGAGTTGGCAATTGCTTAATTGTCTGGCAATGTTGATCAAATCTGGACATGTGGATGGAAAAGTGTAACTCTAGACAGTTATGCGCGCACCTTCAGCTGTAAAACGTCATCCAAACATTTACTCTTGAACATTAGGATAGGTTTTAATAAAAAATATCAAATATATACTAGAAAAGGGTCATCATCAAGTTGTACATAATAACAATAGCGTTTAATATACCGCAAAACTCTATCATACATTATTTTTCAAAAAACATTTATATAAATACATTATGTACATAATGTATTAAATTATGTTTGTTTTTTAAAGGTGTGCTGTACAAAAATCAAACTTTATACAATATCATACAATTTATCATACAGAAAAATGGCCATGTTTTTGTGGAGCAGATGTGACTATATCCCAAGTTTTGTACCCCCATGCTTTTGACGTTACTCCATCAGCCAAACCCTAACATTATCCCATGCATCGTTTTTCGCTTAATTAGTAGATTGGGGACACTGATCATTGTCATGAATACAACATGAAATCAAGGTACGATTACATCGTCGAATACCAAGCAGTAACAGTATCACCCCACAAGCCCACAGATAAGCCGATAAGATCTTTCTGTTTACATATCCATAATCAATTGCTTCCGAAATGCATAAGTAGTTTGGTTAATGACTTATTTGTCCATACGCATTTCTCAAAACGATATCACTCCGTGGTTTGGTCACTACGGGAGGTCAATGTGAGGGAAATATTCAGTCTCCCATACTCAGGGTAAAATCCACTTACAGACAGCAATCATATGTTGTTATCCCTTGACAGTAAATAGCTTTCTGGTCCATAGATAGCACATAATCGATAGCTATAGATCACGAAGGTTTTATTTCCTGGATCTGCGGAAAAAACATCATTTAATTCTCATACAACACGGTGCTTATGTATAACCATAAACCGTTATCACGCGACCATTGTTTAGATAATGAAATACTCCTGGGCAGAGCTTCTGTCAGAGCATCAGAATGGAAATGCTAGGGCCACTGTTGTAAGGGTCCGTGATTCTGTATGAATATTCCTTCAGCTTGACTAATCCGCCAGCTTGGTTATGCCATGACCAGAAGGTTTGATTGACAGGTGGGGATATTGTCACCACCGTGGGGCCGAACATCCATGCATAATGCTCTCGATGGTCCCATAATAACACAGATGGTCATCCCTTGTTAGATCTCTAGAGGAAGATACGCCGCATGCTTCCATTACGACCAAATCACTGTAGTTAGGTCGCTACCGTTTCCTTATTCCGGTTCTCCGAATACTATTACCTCTAATGATGTTGTTCCAAATTCTTTGAAGTGGAGTATCTTCAAATACCTTTCTTACAACAAAATAGTAATCAATTCCATCGTTATTTATCAATTGGGGATACTCAAATGTGTAATGGGGTTTATTACACGGCACAAAGATGCTTCTTAATGTAAATCGAACCCAACAAACACGTCCACAAGCATCAACGAATCTTGCTCCTTCTAATTTGGTTTAACCTGGTGATAATAATTATGTTTAACAATCACATAAGGAAACACACAAATGTCCTTTGGTAAACACCGTACACACAGCCTTGGCTTCCCACGCCATTGGTAAGCACTATTCCTTTGCACTTTGTCAAGACCTACAAGAATCCGGCGTTGCATAGTCATTGTCTATGAGACAGGTTGGAGTCTTGCCGTTGAGCTTGTCGGGCTCAGCATAGTGGCTCTCCTCAGGATTTCCGTAGTTCAATCTGCCGTAACTTGGATCTGGTTTTAGGGGCTCGGAGCCCTGGAGTTGCTTCAACTGAATCTGGTCGTACTTCTCTTCCGGGGTCTCCAGCTCAAAGTAGATGTTCTCTGGCTGCGGCGGGTTGTACTCGCGGTGTTGCCTGTGAATCAGAAGGATGAACTATGATGAAGAGTACATAGTTATTATGTTAAAAGACAAGTACTGCTCTGCAGGGTCAATATCTTAGCAGTTGGACAAAACCCGGGCCTGTGCTACTCCTAAATTGTATTCGAACATTATCACCACCATCATCAGCATTCTAATATTAACTATTTTCTCACTTTGGGTTGATAGCGGAGCAGGTGTAATTCTATTATTTTGCTGTTCTGATCGTCTAACCTAACTTTTGGCTGCCGACAGAAAATCCAAATTATTCCTGTCAATCACGCGAACAAAACTGACATTGAGAAATTGCTGATTGTGAACTGTTGGCAGTTATTGGCCTGGAGGACGGTTTGCCTGTAATCAATGATGTGACGAAAGCAACTGTTTCTTAACACTTTCCTTTCGAAGCTACCGTTGTTAGGAAAACATGCACATCTTTTGATAATATTTCGAATATGCAGTTTGTCTAGGTGTTGCTCAAGATGTTTAGATGTTATCCGTTTGTGTGGAATGGAAACATACGAATATCGAGATAACCGGAGAAGTTGGTGAATAAATAGAGAATCTCACCCTCGTTTCTTTTGATATCAAGTTTATCACCACGAGTTGATAAAGTTACAAATTTTTATTTTTATCAACGAGTGTTGATATATGTGATATCAGAAGACACGAGGGTGTGATTCTATTCTATTTATCATCAAAAATCACTCTTCATTAGTTTTCAATGAAAAATGTACATCTTTGAACACGGTTCTGCCATTAGACTTGCAGTGGAGCGATGTCATAGCGTTGTGGCGTCATCAAGTCCATGACGCCATAGCATTGTCAGGGCTTTGTACAAAATCTACTGTCAAAATGATGTCTCCTAGGAGATATCGTTTGATCTCACACGAGCAATATCTACTGTGGAACAAAGTTTGGGGTGATAAAATTAAGGAAAGTGCGAGTTTGTTATTTGGGGTCAACGCTGCTTGCAACTGTACCGCGGTGTGTCATCGCAGTTCAGACGGTTCAGACTAAATGGGTTCAGATGTGGTTTTTGTGAAATCCGCGTGAACTGGTTACTAACAGCAACATGCTTGCTGTTTGATGGCGGCGGTCTGTAACAAGTCTGGTTAGACAATCTAGTGATCGATACTGTAAGCAACAATCGAAGTAAGATGGCACTCAAGTGAACCAAATAACCAATCCTGACCAGCCGATCCGTTTGGTCGACTCTCACGACCTATCCCTACACGGAAACCAAAATGGAGAACAGACAATGAGTCGTAATAGGGGAAAGACTGTAAATTGCTCGTGTATCAATATCAACTATCGAAGCTGAAGTTCTAGTAACACGATGCATAGCCCCCACCTTATCGGTAACCCAGTTCACTTCATTCAACACGAACCCAGCTTTCTTTGAAGACACATCGCCACCCTAAATCATCAAATTGACATAAGTATGTCTAGACAAACGTCTTCGGATAAAGTCAAGGGTTCAATTTGAGAGTACAATTGTCAGACGGTGGGAATATATTAAGTTTCTCCATCAACAGAACGGCTGATTAAATACCTTCGAGAGAGTTGTCTGAACTCCTAGATGGTCTCCGTGTCTTCTAATTGATTTCATTAAAACACATCTTGTCACGAACACATATATCCGTTAACAGATCAGCCAATTAGGTAACACGTACGGTACTCCATTCCAGCAACATACTGGCACGAACATAAATTTGTACTTCGAAACCTCGTTAAGCTGTTAGGAATCTGTAAAAGATGTTATTGAGAGGTGTTTGGGGATGGAGATGTATGAGTTTAGGAACTTACCTTTTTTTACAGAGCGCGATGATGGTCACGATAATCCCAGTCAGTATCACAGCACTGATAATAGCAATCACTATAGCCTCAGGTAGCGTTCCTGAAGAGGAAACATCAAAATCGTCATTGATCAATGAGATTAGATTGATTCGCCGCGAATGGCCCTGAAATTGTTGACGATTTGTCGTTGAAACTGTTAATTCTTTTTGTTGTAGAATAACATGATCGTCAGAATGTCGATAATATTGCAAAATATGTCAGGTGATTCTACAAAGGGATAATAGTGCTACTTCTATTTGCTTTTTTGTGTATTGGGATGACAATAATCATTTAACTTCGGTTTGAAGACCCCGGTCTGACTGGATCCAAATAATTGATTGCCCTGAATATGAAGCTGAGTTGAAATTGAAGCATAACAGGCATATCAGGGCACGTCTGGTCCGTCATATCAGGGCACGTCAGGTCAGGCATATCAGGGCACCTCAGGTCAGGCATATCAGGGCACGTCAGGTCAGTTATATCAGAGCACGTCAGGCCAGTCATATCAGGGCACGTCATCTCAGTCATATTAGTGCACGTCAGGTCAGTCATATCAGGGCACGTCAGATCAGTCATATCGGGGAACTTCAGGGCAGTTATATCAGGGCACGTCTCATCAGGCAGGTCAGGTCAGTCATATCACGGAACTTCAGGTCAGTTATATCAAGGAACTTCAGGTCAGTCATATAAGGGCACGTCAGGTCAGTCATATCAGGGCACGTCATATCAGGGCACGTCAGGTCAGATGTATCAGGGCACTTCAGGTCTGTCATATCAGGGTACGTCAGATCAGTCTTATCAGGGAACTTCAGGTCAGTTATATCAGGGAACTACAAGTCTGTCATATCAGGGCACATCAGGTCAGTCATGTCAGGGCACGTCATATCAGGGCACGTCAGGTCAGTTATATCAGGGCACTTCAGGTCTGTCATATCAGGGTACAACAGATCAGTCATATCAGGGCAGGTCAGGTCAGTCATATAAGGGCACGTCAGGTCAGTCATATCAGGGCACGTCATATCAGGGCACGTCAGGTCAGTTGTATCAGGGCACTTCAGGTCTGTCATATCAGGGTACGTCAGATCAGTCTTATCAGGGAACTTCAGGTCAGTTATATCAGGGAACTACAAGTCTGTCATATCAGGGCACATCAGGTCAGTCATGTCTGGGCACGTCATATCAGGGCACGTCAGGTCAGTTATATCAGGGCACTTCAGGTCCGTCATATCAGGGTACAACAGATCAGTCATATCAGGGCAGGTCAGGTCAGTCACATCAGGGCACATCAGGTCAGTCATATCAGGGCAGGGCAGGTCAATCATATCATGGCACGTCAGGTCAATGTGGGAAGGAAGGTCTAAAGCGAATTAGGACATACACTTTGCAGGCTCGTGATCTCGGGGTGCGTGACGACAATGAACATTATCGAGAATTTGAACTCAAATCATCGGATCCTCATTAGGCCAAGGGCGACAAATCGATACCCTTGCAAATCTCAGCCAAAAGAACTATGCTCTTTTTTACCTTTCAGCCCCGATGAAAGTTGTAATAGACAAACCAGATTATTTTATAAAACCATCAAAGAGCAAGTGTAAACATCCGGTCAAAGCAATCTGATTCGTGTTTCCTCCTCAATGCAAGACACTCGAACGTGTGAAAAGCAATTTGTAACCTGAATATTTCAGAGCAAGTAATACTGATCATAGTCATGTGTACACGTTCGTGTTTTGGCCCGAGAGAATTTCATACAAGTGATTGCCACAGCGGATGAAAACCCGACTACATGGGCTCATAGTGTGAATGGTGCAGCCGCATGGCTTGAGTGATGACTTACCATTACTCGTCTCTGTTGTCGGCCCATTACAGGTTACGGTCACTCGAGTTCTGTTGGATGTGCCTGAAAACATACAACAAACTTTGTTTCATTGTTAGTTGCTGTACACCGCACTAGGCAATATTCCACACACATAACGACTGTTTGAACAGAAACAAGTCTTGACCATACAATCCTGTGATATATAAGCATCTGGGGGTTCATATTCTACTTTGAATGTTTCGTGGCGTATTCCGAACGTTGAGCATCTTTGTTCAGAATACGACACGAAAATTTCAAAGTAGAATATGAATAACCAGAAGCTTGTTCAATTTCACATAATGTACTATCGGATCTATTGCCTCATGTGTAAATGTTACGGGATTGACTGGGAATCTGTTAATGCCGCTTTGGACAACATTCAAGTCCAGCCCAATCTGGAAGGTCGGGGAAACATCCAAGGATCTTAATCGGGACAAATCCTGACGCTGACCACCCAACAGATCCTAGAATGTGTGAGTTGGGTTTTACGCCGCTCTTAGCAATATTCCAGCAATATCATGGCGGGGGACACCAGAAATGGGCTTCACACAGTATGCGTGACGAACGAACGCTTTAACCACTAGGCTACCCCGCCGCCCAACAGATCCTAGAACCTATAGGGGACGCAAATTACGAGTTTTGTAATGCGTTCTTTCAGACACAGCAGACATGAAACAAACCTTTATCTTTGTAACCCTCAATATCCTTTTGGTAATCACCTTGACTTTAATAAAGATCCGAGCCCCGTACCACAAAGCGATTGCAGCGCTGCGACAGTCGTAAGTCAATGTTAAAGTATGGGAATTTCAATCACGTTAGTGCAATCGTTTTGTGGAAGTAAGTATTTAACCACGCGCCCTATCTGTCTGTGTCTGTTCCGCGATCTATCGTAAAACGTAAATCAGACCTGTTCAAGATTTCGACCTACCTGCTATCTGCAACCACACAAAGGACGGATACTCTTTTTTCTTTATTGGCCCAAGCGTTACACGAATGTCTTTGGACTGTGTCGTATTCAACACAGGAACCCCGAATATGAATTCCTTGTCAAGGCAGAAAATGTTTTTAAAAATGTCATTTTTATTCTTTGCATCTACTACACTAAGTTTGGTATAGTGACACTCCATGTCGTCCGTCTTGTCCTGAAGCCGGATGTCCAAGGCTGTTATTTTGATTGGCTCAGAGCCGACTGACGTCACGTGACAAGAACAGTCGTGTAATGTCTTCTCATCACTCTCGTCAGTTGTGGTTTCATCGTATCGGAGGCTGACGGTATTGCCAGTAATTGACCTAGATTCACAGAATCCAATACTCGCAGTATCTGTAAAAGAAGAACAAATGGCCATTTACTGCAGGTGCAATGGCAAAATAAAGCGTATTTATCACTTGCGAAAAACTATTTGTCAACATGGGCTCCTTGTTGAAAATGTCACAGCTTGGATGCACTTACTATTGTACATTAAATGAGAAACTTGAAACCAATTTACCAGGACTAAGGTTGTAAAGAGACCCATAAAAGCAGATGAACTGAATTGAATCAGGCTCAATCAATGATGAGGACGCATGGATGAAGGACGACGACATGAGATCGCCATCTGCAGCACCGCCACGGAACAGAACCCGGTAATGTAGACATGGGGCAATTAATGATCATCAAATTAAGATATATTTGGTTACAAATTAAGACAAATATGTGATCACGAACTGAAATCAAGTGATGTGTTCTCAAGCTGACGAGTGCATGTGATCCGGTTAGCGCAAAAGCCATAAATGCCATTGAGTTTCATGTAAGAAAAGTATTATTGGATACGGGTTGTAGTCAAATACCACACTATCTAGATATAACCATGACATGTCCCTCGGTTTTGTGGCTTCCACAAACTGGTTCATTGGAACTGGGGTCCCTCAGAGGAAAACTACAATCCTATTCACCATGTTTCAAGATCCCAAATCGTGAAAAGACACGAGTTCGCCACAACACTCGTCTGTATATGAAATCTTGTCAAGAAGTAGCCAACAGTATAGAATATATACTTCCAAAACGAGCACCATAACACCATAACAGCATCGCTCCATATTTCACTACAGTTTAATCTGTCCAATCACTGTATATGTGTGTATGTTTAAATGCTGCCTCAGCATATATCTTACGAATCATTTGTGAAGTTCTGGCCTGCAATTGTGGGACAAAGGGCGAACGAAACATATTTTTCACGTTGTCGAATCTTTCAGTATTAACAGGTTTGTATGTACAAAGTATACCTCAGATCCATCGCACCATATCAGTTTATTGGTCGAAGTGAAAAGCACACACCTTCATAAAATATCCCCCAAAAGCTTCATGATCCGCTACTTTGTTTACGCATTAAAACATGTAAACACATTCAAGCTGACTTACAAACGAACAGGCAATTAGGTACTAACACACTTTAATTTCCGCAAATGGGAAACGATTCCACACAGTAACAATGTAGCGAGTCTGACCACCTGATCCCGTTAGTCGGTTCTTATCAGAGACCTTGAAGACCGATTTAAACCGGATCTTCACGATAACGTGACAGACGTATTTCTGAAGCTCACAAAAACGTGACTAATATAATACTGGAACCATCATATTACCAGCTGATCGGTACCACCACCCCATCGAAAGTCTGCGGCGTGTAAAACATCGCAATGAGCCAGGTACACATTATCTGATCTAGGACGGCGCCCAGCATTATGAGTGAGTGAGTTGAGTTTTACGCTGCACTCAGCAATATTCCAGCTATATGGCGGCGGTCCCCAGCAGTAACAACAACTATCTACTGTAAGATGTCACAACTAACCAACCACCCCACTGAAAGTCTGCAGCGCGTTCAACGATCCTGTGGTAAATATCACAGCGAGGCAGGTTCACATTGTAAGAACGAGAACGGCATCCAGCAGTATTAACGACGATGCAGGGTACGATGACCCAACGAGGCAGGTCACACGTTGTTGTTATCTGATCCGAATTAGCCTGCTTTCACGACAAGCGTTGAATGTCAGCTTTCTAAATCAGTGAATTTTCAGTGGGTTTTTATGAAAGATTTTTACATGTGTAATTTGATACTATTTTTCAATTTTGATGCCATTAAACACGAGCCTCCTTGTGGTGAAAACCTGCTCACAGATTTAAAACGATGACATGCACCACTCATTTTTGCATTCGTTTTTTCTGCCCGTCTACCGGATGAGTTAAAACCCTGATGAATTCTGGCAGTGGTACCCCATAGGGTCGACGAATCGCCGTGCACATGTGCAACCTGATGGGTGAGTCACTGCTCCATTGTTCGGTACGTGGTCGAATGAAACATGTCATCAAGTGGTATTGTGAAGCCCAATACAGTTTGACAAGACGGTTAACCAACATCGCTGAAACAATTGGTGCTCTCCAGCGAATGTCTGCATTTCCTTAACATTACAATGTGCAATGATAGAGGTAACTAATAAAGGATTATTCAATGAAATAGTCATTACCGTTTCCACTGTGCTGTAATTTTATTAGGTGTTCCTCATTGAACACGTGCGTAACATCGGGGGCTTAACGAGCATTACGTCACTGCAATAATATGTAATCGTTCGACATTTCATTTCTTAAAGACTTCTTCCGTAGTCTAACGGATAGAGCACCTGTCCGGAGATGGTAATGTCGTTGGGTTCGATCCTCGGCAGTCTCATGCCTGGCGCTCGCCTGGCTACCCAGCGAGTGAGTATGATTTTACGCCGCTTATAGCAATAATTCGGCAATATCACGGCAGGGGACACACCATAAATGGACTTCACACATTGTACCCATGTGGGGAATCAAACCCTGCTCTTCGGCGTCACGAGCGAATATTTTAACCACTAGGCTACCCCACCGCCCCGATACACTGAGGTATCCATGCTGGCATTGCGACATGGTATCTCAGTAAGCTATCGCTCTGCAGCCGAAAGTGGTACAAACACATGTGCGTGCATTCACGTTGCTAACTAGGTTCAATATCCTTGAACTGGAAGTTAAACCCTATTTCGCAGCACCTTACTTTCTTGCTTAAAATAGCAATGAGTAATGGTTAAGTTGTTTTGTGAAGGATCGTTTAATAATAACACAGTATTGTCCCACTGTCTTCCTCTGATATCATGACAATGATCAAATGTTGTGATTTCAAATACCGCTGGCGGCAGCTTTCTCCATAATTACCCATTCGCCTACAAGATACAACACATCAAAATGGTTCCAGTATTTTGTGGTAAAAGTAAATACAATCATTGTTCAATTACGGAGAGCAGTAACAACCATTCCTGAAAACATCCAGAAAGGTCAAAGACGTTCATTAATATCTGTCTCTCTCTGTCTGTCTGTATGTTTAGGTCCATAAACAATGGTGAATGGCACGTGACCATTGTGAGTGAGTGAGTGAGTTCGGTGTAATGACCTTTGAACATGATTTCAGTGACCGTGCCATAGTTCAGTTTATTGTGAGGGGCAATGCAGGTCTCGGTATCCTTTAAGCCACTGACAACAGGTACAGTGTTGACAAACCAAGAGTGAGTGAGTGAGTTTAGTTTTACGCCGCTTTTAGCAATATTCCAGTAATGGGCTTCACACATTGTACCCAAGTGCGGAATCGAACCCGGGTCTTCGGCGTGACGAACGCTTCAACCACTAAGCTACCCAACTGCCCCTGACAAACCAAGAAACGTAATCCGGGCATAAGTGATGGTCAAACTGATTGGTGGGTTTTGACACTGCTTCAGAAGCGCAATACTCCGCAGCATGGCCTCAACGGCAAAGACCAGATTACAGCTACAGAACGCATCTTCGAACTGAGAATTGAGGCGCCTAAGACAACCAGGCACATACCCCACCCCAAGCACCCCTCTAAGACATGGGTGCAGAGCTGCAATGCACTGACGCCGCTCTCTGGTGGCTGCTGTTCGAACCTTAGATTCAACATGACTAGACCATTCTGGTGTCAGCACCACAAAGGTAACCTCTCCAGCACATTCCACTTCAGACGTTTCTCACAAATGAGACTACCACGTTCTTTTTAAACTTTCAAGCAACGCCTCAAGGGACATGTTTCAAGGCGTAGTATTTATTGCAACGACGCCTTGGGTAAAATTTGAAACAGTTCGCTTGAAGACAAATGTTAACTTCTTCATTACTGTGCAAAGGCTGACCGGTGTCTTGTACTCTTCGAGAACGAGTGAGTGAGTGAGTGAGTATGACTTCTTTGAGTGGTATTTTAGAAGTTGGGAAGTATAATATAGAACAAACTTTATGGATAACAAAAGTAGTTGTTATCCATAAAGTTTGTTCTATATTGAGTGAGTATGGTTTTACGCCGCTTTAAGCAATATTCCAGCAATATCACGGCGGGGAATATCAGATATGGGCTTCACACATTGATCCCATGTTGGGAATCGAACCCGCATCTTCGGCGTGACGAGCGGACGCTTTAACTACTAGGCTACCCCATCTCCCCACAGAAAACGAACATTAAATACTCGTCAACACTCAGTTGCTACGTACCTGGTACACAGTCATAGAACACTCGAACATAGTCCGCAAAATCTCGGCGTGAAGACTCTTTAGGCAAGGGAATCTTATAGGTGAGTTTCTTGTCGCAGTGTCTCTGCCCGCTGCACGAGGTGATAGTGTCAGAATACAGGTAGTGGGACAGAGGGCCAGTTGCGTTCTGAATTCCAGGACACTTGGAATCAAACAGTAGATCACTGGAATGGTATCTGCAACACTTTTCCCTTTCCGTCGGATTCATACTGGTCGGAACCTTCTTGCAGACAACATCCACCGCCTTCGAACCGATGAAGATATCCTTGATGACAATGCTTTCATTTGAGCAGTTCATCTGCAGCGATTCCTGACTCTTTGACGGATTGGCACATATATTCACCCCGTTCAGGTTCACTGGATGGTTTTCTTCGCATACTTCGATTCCTGAAATTAGACAAAAAGTTCAATGAGTATTTCAAATCCAAAATGTTTGAAGGAATCATTGGCACAGGCTCGGGTAGTCGGTAGGTGTTACAGCGCATTGAGCATGTACTAGTTGCGTGGGTATGTGCGCTATATAAATAAAACATATCCTATAAAAATAAAAAATACGCATGCGAATGGCAGTAGATAACATGTAAACACGTGCAGTTATATCAACCAGCACACTGGTATACCAGCATGCATGTACAGATACAAACTAATACTAAATGAAAATATATACACATGTGAATGTACTAGCGCCTGTTTGGAGATGAATTATGGTATGAATTCGTGTGGATGTACTAGCGCCTGTTTAATTGGAGATGAATTTTGGTATGAATTCGTGTGAATGTACTAGCGCCTGTTTGGAGATGAATTGTGGTATGAATTCGTGTGGATGTACTAGCGCCTGTTTGGAGATGAATTATGGTATGAATTCGTGTGATGTACTAGCGCCTGTTTGGAGATGAATTATGGTATGAATTCGTGTGGATGTACTAGCGCCTGTTTGGATGAATTATGGTATGAATTTAGATGATGGTATGAATTCGTGTGGATGTATAATTTGGAGATGGTATGAATTCGTGTGGATGTACTAGCGCCTGTTTGGAGATGAATTATGGTATGTATTCGTGTGAATGTACTTAGCGCCTGTTTGGATTCGTGTGGAGATGTATTAGCGCCTGTTTGGAGATGAATTATGGTATGAATTCGTGTGGATGTACTAGCGCCTGTTTGGAGATGAATTATGGTATGAATTCGTGTGGATGTACTAGCGCCTGTTTAGAGATAAATTATGGTATGAATTCGTGTGGATGTCCTATAGCCTGTTTGGAGATGAACACTGGTATGAATACGTGTGGATGTACTATAGCCTGTTTGGAGATGAATTATGGTATGAATTCGTGTGGATGTACTAGCGACTGTTGGGAGATGAACACTGGCGTAACGATTGAGGATGAACTCCGTGCATCTCCAATTTCATGGAGATACCAGCATACATTTCTTTGGTCATGAAGCAATATACAAACATCTGCCCTATTGAGAAAGAAACTAAATTCTAGACTAGTCCTTAATACACAACCATAATTAGATGTCTGAATGCCCGCATACCAATGTATTGATTTACAAGTATATGCATACAAATCAACCAGCTGCCTCTGTGTAACGTTATCCTATTCAGCCATCTCTTCATTTTTTTCGGTACGGCCCGAAAAATGAGATTACGATCTTATTGCCATTAATCAAAATAATCCATTACGTTGATGATTTATTGCCATCCTTGTAAAATGCTTTCATGTTTCATATCAGCAGATGGGAGTACATATCTTCCTGCCAGTGACATATATCTTTCAATAAAACCTGCACGCGGACAGTTCAAGAGAAGCATATTTCACGCACGAGGAAGGAAAGATAATCCAGAGTCTTAAAACTTCCTCCTTGGCGGTTCCAGCTTCAACTCCAAACTGTCATAGCTAAGATCTTGTTCTACTTTCCAGATGTCATACCATATACAGGAAGCTTCTCGCGTTACTTCTCTACACACCGTAATCTATTATATCAGTGCATCAAGAAACGGAAAGAAGCATTTAGTGACAATGGAGTCGATCCATTTTCATTAAATGCGAAAAGGGATTCCCAGTACGTTTTAGCGTTATATGAACCCTATGGCAGTTTTATAAAGTCGGGGTAAATGTGTAGTTATAACGCTGTGGAGGTTGAGATGATTGCAACAGTGTACCGTTGGTGATATATAAGCCTTGAGACTGTTGTAGTCGCTGATTCTGTGTCAAAGATCACAGTCGAGGTACCGACTTCACGCTGGTAAATGGATTGGGAATTTGCATGTTATAAAAGCTTTTGATTATTAGCCACGTAAAGAAACTGCAGCCCATAACACATTCAATCAGTGGCACCGTAGGGGTCAAAAGTTTTTCACCCAAGCACATGCAGACATTGGGTTTTTTTTATCGACGAATAGTTTGCACGTTAAGAGTTCTTGAAAGTTCTGGAGCGACGGAAGTTACTGATTCCTCGAGGACAAAAGAAATGGACAGCTGATTATTTCCGATACCGGTAGAGTGGAAAATAAATAATTGATGAAAGCTATTCGTATATCTATGGCATACCTGCATACAACGGGGATATATAACACTGCAATGTATCCAGTGTCAATGCAATGTTCCTGATGTGGGGCAGCTGCAAGATGCTGTACGACAAATAAAACGAATACAAATATATCTTCCCCTTGTTTTAATCATATCAGTTTCTAATGATTATCTTCAGCGATTGAATGTTGTCCAATGCCGTATTCATGAGTTTTGTGAATGTTTGAGTCTGGGTCAGGCAAACCAGTGGTTGATAGCTAGGACAGTCCCACGCCGGTTCCATCCCATTGGAGTTGCGAGCATCTTTTCACATGGAATGTGACACATCTGCCCGTCGTGACACATATACACATGAAACATATGACATATGACACTAGACACATCTGCCCATGACAGAAATCTGTCAATCAACAGAACTCGTCGAATCATGGCGACTGAATTATAGATTGGCATGATCGACAGTGTAAACAGAGTCAAAGGAAACAGATATTTTATTTATCTGTGACCCGAGTCCTCATTCTGAAAACAAACACTCGGCAACATTACAAACACACTGGCGAATCTGGGCGGGTCCTTTGAGCCGAGGCGCAATAAAATATTTAGAACATGGCGCCGTTTATGTAAACATCCCATAATATCAATCAACTGTTGTGGTGCGTTAACCAATCAAGCTGTTTAAGTGGGTCGGCAGTCAGTTGAGAGACAGGAAAAGCATTGCGGGGCTGGACAAGTGTCCAAATTACGTGGGGAACACATGCAGGACCGGTCGTGCAGCTGGACGGTCACGTGCACTAGGTGACATGATGTCCGTTATGTACTGCAATAACACGACCCTCGCCTTGCAGCAAGGCTTAATGCATTGTGCGTTAACTGTTTGGGTGTTTTCAAATTGTGGCCACGAGGTAAAGCGTCCTACGGCAGAAAATATGAAGTCAGTGGGATTGATATAGTACATTTGGCTCTGAAAATATTTATCTTAATGGCAACATACCACTCCATTTAAATTGAAAACGAGCCCCAGTGAGATGGGAGATTCTGAACCTGAGGAAAACATACACTTGCGTCATTTAGGGCTTTTTGCACTTCAGTTTTATTATTCAGGGACTGCGAGACACTATGGGTGAACGTGTGTTTAGACGTCCAATGAGACAACATGGATAGAGATGTGTAAACGTGAGGGTTGCGATGGTCGGAATACCATATGGATGAGGGAAGGGTGGGGTGGTGAATGGGAGTGCAGGAGAGACTGTGTCTGTTCGTCGGTCGGAAGTGGGGAGAGAAGTAGGTGTAGCCTACACAATGAATTATTTACCTACAAGACAGAAAGGTATCAGATTCCAGTACAACCTACGTCGCCTTAACGAACAAAGAGAGACCACTCGACGCGAGACTCAAGACATTCCGGAATCTCAATGCTCCACTGTACAGTATATCCTGCTGATGGCGTAACTATCCGCCCTGGTGGTCTACTAACGTTGGGCGATCTGGCTAATTAAGTCACGAGCTTGAGAACAAAGGTCAGGCTGCGATTACTTAGCACGTCTAGATCTACTACGACGGAATCTGGCAACACATAAGTCGTGCCCTTTCAAGAGTCGGAAGTGGTGTCGCATTATTGATTCATGAGTACGTCCAAGCAGGGTTGTTATCTTGGATAACATATGTTGCTATACATATCGCTTTCCGCTTGATTCACCAAGTCAATCGCAATAATTGAGAACTGCAGACTAGCAAAATTATTTGAGCGTAAAATCTGTCTCGACTGATCAGATCTTCTTTCAAAAATATATTGTTGAGAATTTTTTGTCTATGTTCAATGCGTCCATGCATACATATATCATGTATTGTCGGAAAGAAAACTTTCACGCGTTAACCCTGAGACGAGACATGAACATGCCTGACTTTTATAAACCATGATTCTGTAAAGGAAGTCCTGTTCTTGATTTGTCCTGTCCCAACATATGTTTTTGCTTATGGCTGCTTTCCATCAATAAATGACTAATCCATATTTCGAATTGTGCAACGGGAGTCTGCATATGTTTGCACTCACATTCTGGCTCCGCCAGCCTAACATGCAGGAAGCGAATCCTTCCAAGTTATCTCCACACAATGGAAGCAAACATATGTTCTGCTCTGCTGCTCGTATTTCACGCAACATATCAGTGAGGTGCAAGAAGACACGCGCTGGGGCATATAACACCGCGCCTGTTTTTTCTATTATCGCTATAAAAGTGTGTCCTTTCGTTTGAAGTAAATGAGATTCACCGTGAGAAATGTTTTGGAGAGTCTTGGTGCGTGTTTTCTGTTATCGACGTGCTCCGGGAGACTCATCAGCCAGATGGACCAGGACAACTGCATCTACACGCATAGCTGCCTGATCCTGGTCTGACATGCTGTCCATCATATCTCCATTTAAAAAACAATTCCTCTTGCCTATTTTTACTATCCAGACTGATTTGAGAAGCATAGCTATATTAAAGGCGGGATTGACTGTTGGCGTCGAGTCTGGAAGGACTGGTTTTAAAAAATATTACCTATCTATATCACGAGTTTTTGAGGCATAATATAATTGAAAGTATTCCTTGGTCTCTTGGATCTGGATTAGAATTTACTCTGAGAAATCTGTGTTCAAGAAAAAATCATTTTTTTGCTCATTCATTATCGAGGCTGTTTTCTGAGACCTGTGATATAGACTTAATGCAGGATGAGGGTTACATTGGTCTACACTGAAGGGGCGATGGGGAAGCCTCATGGTTAAAGACCCGGGTTCGAGTCCCACATGATTACGCGCAGTCAGACAATTAGTCTGGCTTCCTGAGATCTAAATCAATTGAAATAAAAACTCACATAAAA